CAACTCCTGCAAACGCCCGTCCCGTCCCGTCCGCCCTCGCCTGGCCCTTGGTGCCCTTCAGCTCCGGCCCTTGACCGCTGGTGTCGACGGGTGGAGGTGCCTCGAGGAGGACCGAAGACCGGTGCATTGCGCGGTCGGTCGGTGGAACCGTTTTCACCTCGGCTCTTCGGGGGGAGGGGGGACGTGGTGTTGTGGCATGTTTTGGGGCGTGGTTTCGTGTGGTTTCGTTCCAGATCCGTCCAGCTTCTTGACACCTTGAGGATGCTTCGTGAAGCGGCCCTTTCTCAAACGCCAACGGTAGACAGCATCGCTAATCCCGAAGATTGACCCAAAGCGGAGAAGCGGAGTACTGTAGTACTGTAGTATGTGAGCTGAAGTTCTTTTTGCGTGTATACCACATCATGGACCTCTCCTGGAAGATCATGGGCCATCCACGTGGATGGCATGGAACCACGAAGCGATGTGGGGTGACCACGCAATCTGAAGACCAGGTGGGGGACAACTCACTCCGAAACCATGGAGGATTCCATGGAGTGTACCACATCCTGGCCTTTTTCCCTTTGTCCTTCGGGTTGGCATTCAGCTGAGTCGCCGCCTGCAGAGATGAGAGTGAACGGTTCGAACGGTGAACTAACGGTTCAAACGAAGAGTGCCTGGAGGACTGGTTGAAAGATGCAGGAGGGGATTAGAAAGGGAACTATTCCGTTACAGTGCATGTATAACCCATACACTCAATGGGACACCCCTCAAACCATCCCGATTGCCGGTATATATGGCAGTCCCATGGAGCGTTTGGGTAATACCTAGACTTGTTGAAGGGAGATCTTCTTCAGAAATCCGAGAAAAAACAATGCAAAAGTCATGAACAAAAAAGACAGTCCCCTGCAATCCCCTCGGAGATGGGCCAGGGGCTCCGACATATATGTGGATGGATGTTTTAGGCCAACTGATGGGTTGATTCATCCAGATTGGGTTGATTGGCTTGGAAGTTTCAACTTCACTGATTACTGAAAGGTTGATAATCAAAAGGTGAATGCCGCAAGAAAATCATTCATCAAACACACACACACCCACATGAACCCAGCTACTCAGTTCCCATTTGTCCAGAAGGGATGTTGCGCCAGGTCTCAGGTCTTGGTGTGCAGCCGAACACCGGCAACGAGTCCCCCTTTTCCTCGTCTCCCGAGACCCGAGATGAGAGACCCAAACACACCTATTCCTTGAGCTCTCTGCAAGCAAGGAAGACTTCCCCCGTAACATCCCCAGCTGAAACTTCTTGCAAAGCTCCTCCCAGAGACAACGGTCCAAGCAACCAGCCCAAAAATGCCACACCTCTCGCGTTCGGCGTATCTTCACCGCACCTCGTGTCGCTCGCACTCGTGTCTGTCAACGTGTCCTTCGCTCGTGGTTTTGTGGCGCAGCGATCGCATCGTGTCTTCGCCTCCTCTTTCAAGAGCTCACCCACCGCGGTATAGGACTCCTTCGACCGAACGGACCGAGTCATCTTCGACCGAACACCGTTTCCCGCGCGGCTCGGTGTCACAACACCATGCGCTCGGACGTCGCTGGGACGTGGGTCGTCCAAGGTGTTTCAATTCGGAAGTGGTTTCAATGTTCAATGCTATTGTGAATCCCAAAGAGAACCCACACGTTGATCCCGTGGCTCGCTCGACCAAACGTTGGATCCATGTGGATCATGTGTCCGTCTCCCAGTCCATGCAGCGCGAGCGCCGGCGCGAACGCACGACGTCTGCACGGTGGGTGATCCAGGGTTGACCCAGGAGGGCTCCTCCATCTGCATCCGGCACATGCCGTTGATGTTTGGGAACATTCAAAAGGTATGGAGTGCCCTATATGTCATGCATGAGAGAGTGTGTCATATATAAACTATACCGTACATTATGTTTTAAGTGTCACATCTACAATTAGTATATATATATATACATGAATACATATCTCTACTAAGTAAGAAATTAACCCGAGGAAATGTGGAAACTGCTCCTCGCTGTCTGGCGGGCACAGATCCCAGGTGGCCGCCGGGCGCTCCGGCTGATCCTGGCGGCCAAATGGAAGAGACCGTTGTTGGTGGATGTTTACATTGTGAGTCTGTTGTTTCCTTTTGATTTGGGGATGTGAACCAATCACCTACTCAAGCTTGGTCCAAAGATTCCATGTTGATTGAAGGCAGAATGCCACACTGCTACACCCCTTTGAGATGGAGAATCCTGCTACGCGATTTTCTTCCATCAGGAGCACTCCTGTCCTGACCGTCCATATTTGGTCAGTCGAACTCCCAACCAGTGCTTCACTCCACCTCAAACAACGGATTTCAGCGGATCCAGAGCCCAAGCCTTTTCACCTCGAGGAGATTGAAACCAAGGTCACATCGGTCACATCAGTTTTCAGATGTTCAGGCGAATAAACTCCAGCTCGAGACTTCTCGCAGGCAAAGCTGTGCATCAAGTGTCAAGTTCCATGGTGAGCTCCGGAAAATCGGGCTTTGTCTGGTGTCTGCAGGTTTTGTCTTAGATTCCGTTATTTTTGTTGACGGATGTCACATGTTTCAGATCCTTTTCTTGTCATGGACGGAATCATGTCTCCAGATCGACAGAATGAAGCCCCAGTCCCTTAAGCAAGCCCCAGTCCCTTAAGCAAGCCCCAGTCCCTTAAGCAAGCCCCAGTCCCTTAAGCAAGCCCCAGTCCCTTAAGCAAACCCCAGTCCCTTAAGCAAGCCCCAGTCCCTTAAGCAAGCCCCAGCCCCTTAAGGAAGCCCCAGTCCCTTAAAACACAGATTTAAAGAAACACTATAAAAATATAAATAAATCAAAATACAAAAAACTATATAAATAGATAAATATATAAAGAGATAAATATATAAATATATAAATATATACATCAACATATAAGCGTAAAAAATATAAACATAAATATAGACATAGAAAATATAAACATAAAAAATATCAACATAAATATAGATAAAAATATTAATGTATTTTATACCTAAATATTTATAACCCAAATTTGTATAACAATAAATAACCAACTTCAAGAAAAAACAAAAGGCTCAACTAACAAAATGTCAACAAAACAACACACTTGGTTAAAAAAAATAGAATTCAAGATCTTCAATATCTACAACAAAAATATCACATCATATACCTTGCAACCCTGAAAGTAATGTGATCCTTATGGAACATCATCAGGCAAAGCAAGGCAAGGTAGCCCAAGCTAAAACAAGGCCAAGAGCAAGTTGGGCAAGATTAGTAAAACCCAATAGGCAAGCAACCAACCACCACACTTCATGAACACACCACCCAAACCAATCAAAGGAAAACAGATGAGAACACAGGGGAACAGGGGAGAACAGAGGAGAATGGAGAAGAACAGAGGAGGACAGGAAAACAACAGGATAACAGGAGGACAGAGGAGAACAGATAGGAAAAGAGGAAGCAAAAGAAGAACAGAAAAGAACAGGAGAACAGAGTAGAACAGAAGAGAACAGAGGAGAACAGGAGAGGCAGAGGAGAACAGAGGATGACAGAGAAGAATGGAAAAGAACAGATGAAAACATGAAGAACAAAGGAAAACAGAGGAGAACAGACAGCAGAACAAAGGAGAGCAGAGGAAAACAGATGAGACCAGAGAGAACAGAGGAGAGGAGAACAGAGGAGACGAGAGAGAACAGAGAACAAGAGAGAACAGATGTTCTCCTCTGTTCTTCTTTGACAGGGCAAAGAGAGGGGAACAGAGGAGGACAGAGGGAGCAAAGGGAAAGGGAAAGAACAGAAGAGAAGGACAGAGGAGGAGGAAAAAGAAGACAGAAAGGAACAGAGGAAAACAGAGAAGGACACAAGAGAACAGAGGAGAACAAAGCAGGACAGATGAGGACAGAGGAGAATGGAGAACAGAAAAGAACAAAGGGGAACAGACAACAGAGGAGAACAGATGAGAACAAATGAGAATGGAGGTGAACAGAGGAGAGCAGGAACAAATGAGAACAGGAAAACAGAAGAACAGATGAGAACAGAGAAAAAAGAGGGAGGCAAAAGAGGAACAGAGAAGAACAGAGGAGAACAGAGGAAGGAGAGAGGATAACATGAAGAAAAAAGGACAGGGGAGAACAGAGGAGAGCAGAGAACAGAGAAGAACAAAGGAGGACAAGAGGAGAGAAGAACAGAGAAGAACAGAAGAGAACAGTGTTGTGTCCTTTAAGTGTGTGGGAATGGTTGGGCGCTGTTCTTCAAGTGTGGTGGTGTGAATGCTTTGATCAATTTGGGTGACTCTGTTTTTTCTTTTCTCCTCTGTTCTTCTTCTGTTTTCATGTCCTCCTCTGTTCCTCTGTTATCTTTTGTTTTTTCTCTGCCCCCCCAACCAACCAACCACACTTGAGGAAGACAGCTCCCAATCAATCACCAAAACAAAGCACCTGCAACCAGAAGAACACAGCACCCACCAATATTCACACATGAAGGGCACAACACCCACCAATCACCACACTTGAGTAACACAGCACCCACCAATCACCACATTGAAAAGAAAAAGAACAGAGCAAAAGAAAAGATGAAAAACAAATGAAAACAGAGAAGAAGGAGAACAGAGGACAGAGAAGAACAGAGACACAGAGAAGAACAGATCTGACTGCTGTCTTCTCTTCTGCCCAGCAGTACCCAACAGAGTCCACATCACTGTTGCTTCTTGAAGAACACAGCACAAGCCCAAAACCCTGAAAGGCCCAAAGCCCCTAAAAGGTCCAAAGTCCAAATCCTGAAGGTCCAAAGTCCAAATCCAACCCTGAAAGGTCCAAGCCCTGAAGGCCCAAATCCTGAAAGGTCCAACAGGTCTAGACCAAATCCTGAAAGGTCCATCCAACCAATCACCCCTAACTCAGGGTTTAGGGTTTAGGGTTCAGTGGGTTTCAGGGTTCAGAGAAAGGCGTCGCCACGGGTAACATCCCACCCGCCCACGGTTCCCTTTTCATTGCAGATATACACCTTTTTTAATCACGCGTCGATTAGCGTCACTTTCTCTGCTGCGAAGCCCGTGTAAAACACGTTGTCCGCAGACAAGATGGACAGCAAACCGCGCAAAGCGGAATGCTCCTGCCCAAGCCAGTCATAGAATTCTTTGGCCGCGTCGCGCACCTGTGCTTCAGATGCCGTCGACCCCCCGGCTTCCACCCGTCTTTTCTTCAAAGAGCTCATGCTTTCTTTTGCGGTGCTCTGTCCCTGGGAGCCTTTGCCAAAGTTGAGAATGCGGCAAGATACGGTTGGCTTCCGCCATGGCCTTCGCATACAACTCCTCCCGAAGTACAGCCTTGACGTTGTCGCTCTTCAGTTTTTCGATGGCCATCTGCACGGCCGCTGCCGTCATGGAGACACCGGCCCCAACATGCCAAGCATCGCCATCGATGCTGGCGCACAGATGACTGTGGTATGCGGCCTTGCGGTTTCCAGCAGCCGTCGCCTTCCAAAGCTTCTTTAAAGGCATGGAGCCTAAAACCGAAGCCCCATAAGGCTCTAAAAGTTGCGATGCCACCGCATCATAGCCATAAAGTTTGGTGCGGCGGCCGTGTCAACTAGCGTCATTCCCCACCAGCCCCGCGCCCGGTTTTTTTTTCACATCCTTGGTCCTGGCAGGCTTTTGCGCGAATGCAAGGCCAGTTTGTGGTACGGGTAGCCGGCCGTGGGGCCCACCCCAGGATTTCCCGCGAACCGGGCCGATCGCCATTGAAATTGTATTAAAATTTAGACAAAATCCGGCGCCCGTCCAAAATCGGGATTCGAACGGCAAGCCTGTGCTACGAGAGGGCCTTTAAAGGCAATCCTGTGCTACGAGAGGGTTTTGAAAGGCAATCCTGTGCTACGAGAGGGCCTTTGTGCTACGAGAGGGCCTTCAAAGGCAATCCTGTGCTACGAGAGGGCCTTTAAAGGCAATCCTGTGCTACGAGGGCGCTTTTAAAGGCAACCCTGTGCTACGAGAGGGCCTTTAAAGGCAATCCTGTGCTACGAGAGGACTGTTAAAGGCCATCCTGTGCTACGAGAAGGCCTTTAAAGGCAATCCTGTGCTACGAGAGTGCTGTTAAAGGCAATCCTGTGCTACGAGGACCCTAAGCCCATTAAAGTTTAAAATATACATTTGATATATAGATAAACCCCTCAAGTGCCCCCTCTGCTATTTCAGCCTCAGCCTCGCCTGGTCTCACTGCTGGTTCCGCCTGCTCAGGTCTCACTGCTGGCTCTGAACTGAAAAACTCGGTCGCCTTCTCATTGTCCTTTTTATCCTTGTAAAGGTGAGTAATCTTCACTGCTTCTCCTCGCAACACCTGATCACCTTCTCTATACTTGTTGACAATGGAGCGCCATACTGGCACGTTGTCATCATCAAAATCAAGCTCCATATCATCTGCCAGCAAGTTTGAGATGTTTTGAGCTGCCTGTTCTTCTTCTTCCTCACGTTCTCTGGCACGCTCCTCATTCTTCTGGATCTTGTAGACACCCTTCAGGATGTTTTGTAGTACCTTTAAGTTCAGCTTCGATGATGGCTCATACGTCCCTGAACTTACAGGTTCAACTACAACACGAGAGCAAGAAATCGCCTCCAAAGCCTGCTCAGGTCTCACTGCTGGTTCAGCCTGCTCAGCCTCCTCCTCAGCTGGCTCAGCCAGCTCAGCCTCCTCCTCAGCTGGCGCAGCCTCTTTGGGAGGCTCCTTTTTCAAAAACCTCAAAAACTTCGATGGCACAGCTGGCTTCGTCTGTTTGGTCTCCTTTTTCTCTTTCTCTTTCCTTTTCTCCTTTTTCTCTTTTTCTTTTCCCTTTTGGGAGCCATCTTCTCCTTTTTGGGAGCCATGTCGCACCCTGTGGCACCCTGTGAACCTGAAACAGCAAAAGGGAAGCGGGAAGAGAGAAGAGAAGAGAAATGCATGCATTCATTCATTCATTCACTCTTTACTTTATTTTACTTTGCTTTTCTTTTCTCGTATTTTTCATTTCTTTTCTTTGCTTTGCTTTTCTTTTCTTGTCATTTCTTTTCTGTGTTGTTGCTCTTGCTGTCGTTCTGGCTCTTGTTCTTGTTGCTCTTGTTCTTGTTACACTTCTTGTTCTTGTTCTTGTACTTGTTGTTCTTGTTGTGGCACTTGTTCTTGTTGTTGCATTTGTTCTTGTTGTACTTCTTCTTCTGCTCTTGTTGCTGCACTTGTTCTTGTTGTTGCTTTTGTATTTGTTGTTCTTCTTGTCGTTCTTGTTCTTGCTGTACTTCCTGTTGTTGCTCATGTTCTTGTTGTTGTTCTTCTTCTTGGTGTTCTTGTTGTTGTTGTTGCTGAAGGGGTAGAGCTAAAGGTTGCTAGTGTTACAAAAATTAATTATGAAAAAACACATTCACCCTTGGACAACTCAATGTTTCAGATCAGCATTCATGTCAAACTTTGAGTTGAACCTTCAACTATCGTGATCTCAAAATTTGACTTGAACCCAATGAAACCAAAAATTCATTTCAGCTGCACATGTTATCTGCTGTTGCTTCTAGTGCCATTAACACTATTTCTTGTGGGCCTGCCACTACCATCGGCTACCACTACTACTGCTGCTACTACTACTACTATTCCTATTCCTACCCCTACTCCTACCACTACCACTTACCACTGCCACTTGCCACTACCACTTACCACTACTACTACTACTACTACCACCACCACTACCACCACGACAACTACTACTGCTGCTACTACTACTGCTACCACTACTACTATTGCTATTTCTTCATCTCATTCATTCATTATTTCATTTCATTTCATTTCTCTTCATTTCATTTCATTTCATTTCAT